ATAAGAGGAGGCAGGGATTTCTTTAAGCAGATCGCTGGACTGCATTAGTGTCTTCACCATTTAGGTGAATCTTCACATAAGTACCAAAAAGTGTGATAGCAGAAATAGATATGCATACATTTACATACATATAGAATAGTACTTTATTCACCACAGGATGTTCCAATAGCAATCATGACACTTTAAGGGTCTCTGGCTCATACTATCTTACTGTTATTTTTTTAAACCTATGTTGGTGAAACAAAATGTCCAGGGTTTACATTGAATCTGGCCAAGTAAAACTCACTCAGATTCCACAAAAGGGAAGTAACAGCAGCTTTATCATCTACCTCAAGTAGTCCCTTTAATGTCCGGATGCAACAGATGGTTTTGGACAGGACAGAGGTCTCTAAGTATGTATGGCGACTGCGTAAGACAGCACATGAGAGATGGATAATTAGTGCCAATAGCATGAAACAAAGCAAAGGTTATTTCAAATGAGGATCACAGAAAATTTTCTAACAGTAGGTATAGCTGAATGTGGAATTAACCACCAAAGGAAACAACGGCCTAAGTCAATGTCACTGCAGGCAGGCAGGATTAACTACACCAGTGATCACTCAAATGATCTGTTCAGCCCACAGTTCTTGGCACTTCAACACTTCCTAATCGGTTCTCGCAAACATTCACTCAGCTCATCCCTTAACAGCATTTGCAAACCTTATTTTGGTTCTTGTAACAAGGTTTTGTTCACTTTAGTATCTGGAGAGTAAATGGTCTCCATACAAACATCCATTATTTCATAAACCCCTGAGGAATGTGGTTACTACCTTTCCTTCTTTTCCCTCCCTTCCTGAAAAGATCAGTCATCCGTCAGGAAACTGAAACAGCAATATCTGACATAGCACAATAGAAGTAGTATAGCAAATAAGTGAAACAAACAGATCTGCAAACACAGCTCAGGTGATATTTGTTCAGTCCCACTGCTTCCTAAGGATTAGCAAAACAGAGCTAGTCAATGAATGGAAACAACTCAGTTGCCAGCCATTCAAGGAGCATTATCAATGTTTCTGTCACCTATTTGCATCAAGTATATTGAGTATTTGCACAACTTCCTGCTGTTTACATGTGACTTTTTTTTCAACTATATCCTGCGCTTCACAAACGAATTGTCTGGAATTTGAGTATTCTTACCATCAGACACAAAACTGCATCAAAAAGATACAGACATCTAGTTTAGAAGCAGAAAATCAACACAGCCAGATATATAAACCCCTCTGTGACAAAAGGCATCAGTGAGTGCTTTCCACTCACTGGATTTCAGCACCCAGAAGGCCTCTTAACAGTTATCTTGAACAGCGCAGCCAAAGACTATGCAATAGTATCACTATTGCCATTTTTGTAGCATTCATCTGCCACAGGATGGAGATTAAGGGAACTATTCATATGGCAATGATCCTGCAGGAGCTTATTATGATCTTCATGAATCAGTAGTAAAACGCGCTACACTGTAGTTGTCATACCCTCCAGATGCCATGTCTTTGCTGCCTGTCTCAAAAATTCATAAAAGTGGGCATGATGGAAGATGTATGTCACATGCATTTGCTCTCTGTCTCCAAAAGAGCATGAATCTGCCATCAGTTTTGACTTAACTGATTTGCTGGCTATTTTGCCTTTGGTCATATTGCTTCTTTTCTGCAACTTGCTTTTTGATAAATCATGTCGCTGCAAGTGTAAAGACCCTTTTCCCCTTTACAGAGTATGAAATAGATCATTTTAAAATAAAAGCTAAAACTCTCATTGACTATAAAGCGCTGTTTATGTTATCTAATAGCCCACTTGTTGTTGTCCTCCAAGCTTGTTTTTCCTATGCAACCCCTCCATTAATATAGCCATTAACCAAGTTATTTAGCCAATTTTAATATTTCTTAGTAAGTCAGTTCTGCCTCATGGAGAATAAAACACTTTTCTAAATTCTATGTCACTATTTATTCACAAATACAAAAATATTCTGAATCTTCTTGTAAAGCAAGGCCCTAATTTTTTTTTTGGTGACTTCTATGAGCTCTTCTGTTAGAAGACAACCCCATAGATCTCATTCACACAAAATACAGAGTTGCAGTTTCAGTCACAGCCCATATGTCAAACTTAAAGCAGAACAAAACAAAAGTGGAAGAAGAAGACTTGCTAATGCTGTGAACTTCTCCAGGGAACAAATGTGAGTTCTTACCCCTCTCTGGAAATCATACCTCTTTCTGAACTCTAATTAGCTGGGCAATGAAGAACATGAATTTCACCTCTTGTACAAAAATAAAATGTGTATCTTTTGGGCATACTCAAGCAAAACAGGAACCAGAAAATATGGCAACTAAAGACCTGACTTTTGAATTAGCAACTCAGTATGACAAAGTACTTCCCTTAATGCTCTGAGACTAATGACCTGGTTGCACTGATGTGCAAGGAAGGCGCTTTCATACTCCCAAAGTCTGTAACCTCCCAGTTAAACCTTGCCTGCACTGTCAGAAAATACATGCCTTTTCTTTTTGAAAATGTGTTCTTTTAAAGTATCAAAATAGAATAATAGAGTCCACATGAATCTATAAACAGAGAGAAAAACTGATTGTGATATACTGGGCAGCCTTTTTATTTCGGTAATGTTTCCAAAATTTGGGGCTCATTTGGCTAGAAACCAGGCTTTTGAAAATTACTGATTATCTAAAGGGCCAAGTCATTCAATGACAGCAAGATTAATCTAGAAATCACACTGGTTAATGACATCGCTTGTATTTACATGCTTATATTCATATGCACTTCTAATTGTATGGTTGAAAACTGCATCTGCCAAAGGACACATCTACATGGAATGATGCTGCAATATACACCTGGCTCCAAAGGATGCATTTGAAGACAAGTTGGGAATGTGCACACATTACTCCACTGTTCCAGTAGTCGTAACAAAGGGCTGCCTTCCTCTGTCAACACAGTGAATTTTTAGTTCTTTTCAACTACGCTGCTGATATCTGCTGATATCTACTGATAGCATTTTGGGGACAGCCCAATCCCTGCACGTAAAAAACCACACTGCATTTTAGGGTTTTGAAAGAAAAGTTCCTGTACACATCAAAATGTAAAATATTATTAATCTTATAGAAAAAAACAACAACAACCCAACTGTCACTGAATTCACTTCTAATACAAACAGACCAGCAATAATCTGCCAGTAAAATTACAAAATTGCCTTCGGCCATGTCACTTCTTCTGTGAAGACAGATTTTATCAGCATTTTCATGGTTCCACACACTGTTTCCTTGGCAGATGCTTTTTATTCTCTTACAAATGTCTGTCAAGCAAGCACCTCTTCATCAAACAACTGAAATCACTTTGTCAATAAGCTGCGTTTTACTTTTCCCTCACATTCCTTGTAAGCCTCTAAAAGCATCTTTTCGTGTACCTACAGTATTTTGTCTGCCCATTTCATCAAAAGAAGGTAGCACTTTTACCTGTAAACATTTCTGGAAAGATCATGGGTTTTATTGTTTGATTCTGCTACATTTTTTCTGCTAAAGTGTCATATTTCACATTAAACTAGATGTTGGTTTCTTGTATCGGACACCTGAATTTGCATTTGATAAACAAGTAAGAAGGTATACTTAAAAGTATTTATCATGCTGCAAAATTAAGCATGCTGTAGTGTTTGTTATCCTTGAAACAGCATGTAAACCATTTTAGCAGTATGATGGTAAACACTTGTTTATTAGGAGTCATGTACTCAATAATCACAGTGGTATCTAAAATTTCAGAAGCTCCATTTCTTTTTCAGTAAGAATCAACTTCAGAATAATGCACAGCTCCTCAGAAAACAGATATGCTGTTGTGTTTTTAGGAATGTATCTAACACCCAAGCGTGCCCGCAGCAGAGCAGCACCAACGTCACACCGAGTTTGATTTAATTTCTCAGGTAAGTTACTGAAGCTGCTGGGAAATACATCTCTGTGGTTAAATAAACATTTTTAAAATAGGCTTTCCTTCATTGCATAGAAACTGAAAAAATGTTATCAAAACTCTATTCTTCATGGTTCTTACTAGTGCTAAAATTATGTATATAGCCTTTTGATTATCTGTCCAAATAAAAACAACTGAAATCACAAGGTGTTCTTCTTTTTTGCTAGTTAGCATGGCAGAGTGATCCCGCATTCCTTAAGTCACACAGTGAAGTCTGAAGACTTCCAGATCTGTGCTCCTCACCCTACTCTAAATACCTGGTTACTGAAAGACAAAACTCAAATAGCTCCTTCCAGCTCAAACACCAACAAAGCCACAATACTGTCTAGAAAATACATACTTGGAAATAGGACATCAGTCACTTACTCTTTTGCAGGTTTGCAGACTTTCTTTAAATGCTGGCTAGATTGAAGTCAAGGGAGGGCATTTAGAAACTACCTTTGCTTTTCTCTAAAACATAATCAGTTCTGCTCTGAACTTCAGAAGCATTTGTACCACTGCTCATCTGGATTTCAAAAGAAATCCTAATGTCATAGTCAAATACTAAAGGAAAAACCTCTGAAAAACATGTCATGCATTAGAGAATGTGAGCTACTCCAAGAGACTTCTTAGCTACTTGCTTGAATTTTATCTCTAGTACCAGGCAATAAATTATGCTCTGTTTCCCAGTTGTTCCCTTCAAGACTCAACATTTCTCTGAATACTGTGTTTTCTTCAACTGGCCTCTCCAAGCTTATATAATAGTTTAAGTCTTCTGCAAGAGAAAGCGTGAAGATCAAAAGGAGCAACTTGAAAACGCTATCATGAATTCCGATGTTGCATCTTCCAGAGAACAAACCAGCAACCCAGAGTTAAGGTTACAATAAATATTTCATGAAGCCCTGGTCGATATAACTAGCAAACCCAGAACATCTTAACCTATCTACGCAGAAGTACTTGAGACTCAGATTTAATTTGAGATCCAAACCCAGGTTTTTCTCTTTAGGGGAAAAAGAAAGTATGACCATAGGAAAACTTACAATAGGAGCAGCCATAGACTTCGATTCTTAACCCAATTTGTCCCTCTTCATTCCAGTCCAAAGGAACTATCCGTACATAGCGAGCAATAACAGGATGTTGCAAATCATGCCGGACCACACTATCAGAGTTTGTATTTCCAGGAAATGCCTAAAGAAAAGAAGAAGAAAAACAAAATCATTGTATTATACCTCTATCGCACATGCTATAAAGGTGAAAACACTACATAGTGAAGTCCTTTGAGTGTCTAAGACACACTCAAGTTTGGCTTACATGTTTCTCTGATAGTTACCAAATTATGAGTTGATTTAAAATTTCACAACAATACCCAAACGGTAGCATCGAGACCTCTTCATCCACAATACGTATGTTGAATTCATGGGCTAGCTGCTGCTAGGTAAGACAGTAATCCATTTTGCATTACTAATTTGTTAGTTATTAACATGTCAATAAAATTGTCCAAGAGGAGGGTTTCTGGAGAAGATACTCATCCTCTATCAGTAAGATTACACGCACTAGTCATTTTTCTGCAAATATGAACACAGAAATAACTTTCCTCCTAAAATAGACAGGGACCCCTCTGATTTCACAAATTCCTATGAATTTTAAAATCTTCCTTTACTTTTGATATATTACACACTGGAAAGTGAGTGTCGTTTCTTTCCTATCCATAGCTGTCACTCACAGCACAGCATATTTTTGGTCAATAAAATTAGAAATGAGGAAAGGATGAAGAGGTCTCAAGGGAGTTTTGAAAATCAATTTAGCAAATATTTAGCACTTGGTTTGTAGGTTTGTATCTACTGGTACAATATTCCATAGCATCAAGCTTAAAGGTAAACACCTATTAGTTACTACTTTTGTCAGTTTATGGATGTTTTTGTGCACCCTCACTTGCAAAGGTATTTTTACTACAGAGGAAATATCGTCAGTAGTAATATCTACACACCTGCCATCTGAATAACTACATTAGCCTTGTTCTAGGAATCACTGAACTTCATGAAGGGAATAAAGAGTTTGGTCCTTTAAAAAATACAGATTCTAGTGAATATGCAAGGTAATGCTCCCCATTTCAAGAGCAATTTCTGTTTGGGCATGTCTTAATTTTGTCATTCTTGGCCTAATCTTAGCAAACATCTCAATGCAGGTTTTTGATGGCTGTTTTGGGGTTCGTTTGTTTAGTTTGCTAAATGTATTAAGGGATAAGGAAGCTGAATACAGGTGGGCATGATATTTCCTATACTATTTGATTAAATAATTGATGAAAACCAATCCTCAAAATAAGCATGATTTTCTGTAGCTCTCCAAACTTTGTGCCCTGACTTGTGCTTTACCAGTCCTTTGTCAGAATGAGTTAGAGCCACAACCAGCAAGTACTTGACATTTTGAGGGTTTCAATCAGTATATGATCCAGCAAACTTTGCTAAATGTATAAACACAGTCAAAAGTGTATGGAGCAGTCTGTCATTAGTTTCCCAGACTATTAAAATGCATTCCATTGGTCTCCAACAGAACAATACCCCTTAAAACCAGCTTTCATTTAGATAAATGTGGTACAGTAACACACGCTCTGTGGATAATGCAAACATCAGGCCAAAATCCATCATTGAAAGGCTAAGAAATCAATTTACAAGAGCTTGTACATCACGTACTATTGCTGTAAAATGTCCTTTTCTGATCAAGATTTGTACGTAGACTCAGAAAGGCAAGTTTTCATGAAGAATTGAGTTTCTACAATTTTCATTTTTGCTTTGTTAACAAATAGTCTAATAAGATTTAAAAGTATAATTCAGACCCAAAGCTCTAATAGAAAATCTTTTTTAATCAGGGGGTGAATCTCTGGCTAAAAGAAAATAAATATATAAATACACAATAAGAAATTCCCTTAGAAACTATTTTTAAGAACAAAGTGGAAATACGTGTATAAATTAAACAATTTTCTTCAGATTATTAACCTCATGAACTCACTGAAGTATTATTGACAGATATGTCTGGTTTTCATAATTAACATGGTTTTTCTTTAACCTAATCTGGGAAAATGACCAAAATGGCTCACGTGTCGTAAGACAGGTAGCACTGTCTCACCAGCTCAGCTTCAAAACCTACTGTCATTTCTCAGCCTGTACTGGATACTGACTGCTGTAAGCTGCTCTAAGTTTCAGCTCACATTACAATAAAAAGATAGGAGTGTTCTGAGTTACAACCACTTTTCTCAAAGGCACTGCTCCACAGGACAGCAAAATAATAGGAGTGAAGAAAGGAAAGAAAATATGCCCCCAAATCCTTTCTAAACACTGCTTTTGAACAGAAGTTGAGCAGAGTTTTCAGAAGTACTCACTAAGTCTTTTGCTTCCTTAGGAGTAAAAATTGCTCAGCTCCAAGTATTTTTAGAAGATTACCAGGGCAGGTTTATAGGACAGATAATATCTTTTAATGGGCCAATTAATTAAGCTAAGAAAAAAAGCTTTGGCACAGGAGCTTCCTTCAGCAGAAGCAGCAGCAAAAAGCTGCATGATCTCTGAAATTCATTTTGGTTTTATCAACATGCTTCAAGCACAATACTGTGCATGAAGACACAGTAAAGACATTCAGTATCATTTTCTTTCCATAACAGACCTGAGAGAAGTGAAGGTAAGTTTGTGAAATTTGGAAGAAAAGTTAGGGAAATTAAGATTCAGACTCAGTTTTGTTTCCATATTTACAGAACAATGATATTCTCCATCAATAAATAGAAATGTTAATGCTAAATCATAAATTTCTAGCAGTACTGCAGTAAAGTAATATACAGCTTAATAGAATTATTTAGGTAAAGTTGACAAAAATGGGTTTAGTTTCCTCTAAGACTACAGTTTTGCAATAGCATTCAGTCCTCAACTTTATGGATACAGAAGTACAAATTCTCTTTTTGGGAAAATGCTTTGATCACCTTTTAGAATAAAGGATTAAAAAGTAATTCTCTGCAGTAAAAGTTTCTGTTAGAAGTAAGGAAGCTCAAGCTGAATGAAATGTTATTAAGTGAATGAACGTGAAAGCTTTCTTTAACTGAAGAAGAATGAGAGAATGTTGGTCAGATACTCAACCAAATGAACAAAAGGGTGTTTGCAATCCTTCAGCCCTTTAGTGAAGCAGAGAAAGAAAAAGACGCTTCACTCCCAGAAAATCACCCCCTCTATAACAGAGAGCCTAACACGCTTAAGGGGAAGATTAATTCTTCATCTGACTTACAGGTGAAGAGTTCTCCACTGAAATTAGTGATTTATTCAAGTTTTAGAAGTACTAGTAATTAGCAAGTATAAAAATTAATGTATGTAGGGTGATGTAAAAATAGGGCAATGCGTGGAATAGTAGGATGACATTTCCAGTTAGGAGGATGAGAAACTGTCTTGTTTTTCATAACTTTATTTAATTACTAGCATTTTTTTTTCATTAATTCCATACTTACTATTATACTTGACAGACATATTTTGCCACTGGCATTTTAAGCAAAGGGTCTGCATTTATGAAAATCACCTAGGCTTTATCTTTATTTTGACACAGCAACAGTGAAAACACTACAGTCTATGTTCTATGGCACTACAGCTCTATAAATGGCTCTCCTAATCAGGAACAGGATTTGCATGTAAAACCACATGAATAAAAGCACAGTATTAAAAAACATAATGGAAACATCCACAGAAAGACAGGAGATGTCTGTGGGAAACATCAGTGGGTTTTCTTTGAGGGCTCCAAGGTGGAGCTGGCTAATCTTATGACTTTCATTTTATAGAATATCCCCCAAATTCCAAACAAGTACTTTTTCAAAACCTAGGATGACAAACTTTGAGAGGTTGACAGCTTTGTGTATGGCTGCAGCCCTCTGCCCACATAGCACAGAAAACCTGGAAAATTTTGTTGTTCCCTTGAGTTCTCAAGACTGCACCACTGAGGAGCGGAGTAGGACAGGCTACGTGCTGGGAGCTCTCGCCTGCACTGCTGCAGAAACGTACTCAGCAGAGCAAGGCAGGGCAAATCCAGGAGCCCTGGAAAAATTCCTACCACGTACTGGTTCTGCACAAGCTGACTGAACATTTCCAAAAACCCCCACAAACTTCTTAACTGCCATTAGACAATGAAGCCAACCTGTAATTACCTGCTCAAACATTTCTCTGCTTGATACCTATGAAAATCCAGCCCAAATATACTACAGAAACTGAAACAGTGAGAACAAAAGGACTGGGTAAAGCAAAATGTTATGAGGTTAACTTCAAGGAGGAAGGGGAGGGAGAAAAAGTTAAGAACAACAGCTGGTAGGAAAACCAGTTGCAGAAGGAAAGAAAAATAGGAAATCAGCAGGAAAAAAAAAAACAAAACAACCTGAATGGGTCAGAAAGCAAGAAATTTGGGTTTGGTCTATTTAGCTCAGTTTTGACACATTCCTGTACTTTCATTTCCTAGTGCCATGTGCAGTGAGAATAGGTGATACGAAGCAGTAGTCCTGCTTGAAGAACCATTTCTTCATTCCCTCTATTGAACAGCAGAATTGGTAACTCTACAGCTTGCACACCCTTAAACCAAAGCAAAGCAAGAATTTTCAAAGCAAAACATTTCTATAGCATCTTTTATAATCAGCTCACACAGTAATGTAAGTTAGTAACATAGAAAAACAGTATCTGAAAGCACTAAAAGCTGTAACAGGTATTTCCCTTATCCCAAATGATTAAACCCTCAGATGGGAACTTCAACAAGTGCTGAATCTCATATTTGAGATTCATTGTTATAAAATGACCACAGCTCCTAAGAGCTCAGGATTAACAACATGTCAATAAACTAAACATTCTAATCCTGCTGACAGTACTCTGTGCTCATATAACTTGATTCTACCATCGGCGGTATTAGTACTTCCAATTTCAGCACAGTCAGCTACACCCTTTCCTTCACGCATCTGTCAAGCAAGTTACCTATGCAACAAGTGCAGCACCACCAATTTCTGGAAAACTAGTCACATACTCAAAGTAAGGAACATTTAGTAACAGACTTTTAATGCAACTGAATACCCATTTTTTCTGTGCCCAAAGTATTTCCTAGAATTTTTAAACAGCCCCGTAATTTATATCACCTTCCTCCCTTAAATTCTCTACTGATTCCCAGAGGGTTTACTTTCAGGATTAAAT